AAAATGAGTCATATTCTGTGATTCGAAGGCAGCGCTTCAGAGTTTGCAGTCTGCCATGCGTAGGAGGAGTCATGACCAATTGGTAGAAGAAATAAGACATTGCCATCATGAAGCTCTAGCACGAGGGCATGATATTATATATCAATGGCTGCCTGCACATAACGGTATTACCGGAAATCAATTAGCCGATGATGCAGCCCGCTCAGCCCATGAAGAAACCCGTGTAGTCCCGATTCCTATATCAAGGAATGATGCAGCAGGACAACTTTACCTGCTGGCTCGAGATCTCACACGCACGTTCTGGTCGTCTACCAGCTTCCAAAGGTGTCAATTTTATGAACTGGATCTTTCGCTCAAGCTAAAGCTACCATCACAACTTTCCCGCTCCGATGCGACACTGTTATGCCGTCTTTGGTTGGGTGTTGCATTTACAAAGGTGTACTCCTTTCGCATTGGTATGGCAGACACTCCTACATGTGACTACTGCGGAGCTGAAGAGACCATCGAACACGTCCTGTGCAGCTGCGCTTGCGACGACACACAGCGATGCCAGCTCCGGATGGTTTTGAATCAACTTGACCCCGGACCATTTTGTGTGCAGAAGATTCTAGGACCTTGGGCATCTGCCTCAGTTGCGCAGTAAGCGACTAAAGCCCTGCTACTTTACCTAAAGTCAACAAACCTGAGCGACCGCCTGTAGACTGTGTGTGCTCCCCGAGTGTGCTCGTGATTGTGTGTACCTTCTCATCTTTCTGCAACCTCTTTTCTCCCCTTTATCCCTTCCCCAGTGCAGGGTAGCAAACCGGATGTGCGTCTGGTTAACCTCCCTGCCTTTCCTTGCATCTCTATCTCTCTCTCTCTTCTACAGTCGTTATTGTGCTCGAGCGTTGGCCCATGGGTCGCGGCATCGAATCCCGGCCACTGCGGCCATGCTTGAAGCCTGTGCACTTCGACTTAGATGCTCGTTGAAGGACTCCACGTCTTCGAATTTTCCGGAGCACCTGATTCACAGATGCGTAGGAACGACGCGTTGAAAGAAGTAGTCGTGTATGCCATGGTCATAGTGCAGTACTCAACTCTACCATGAGCACTGTGAGAGGACAGTGGTAGATTTAAAAATGGTGTTTGGGAAACCATGAAAGTGTGTGACTGTGGCACTTACTGTGACGCATAGCGTAACGCATACCGTGGATAGCGTGCCCGGCATCTGCTTTTTGCAGATTGAGAGGTCATGGGCTCAACTCTTGTTGGCGAACCTTTGTCTTCAGATCGTGTGTATTTCTCGGACGTAAATTCTCGGACGTAAATATTAGTGGATCCTGGCATAATACACCTTCGTGTTAAAATATAAAGCTTAGAAATCAATTGAAATAAAAAAATAGAAAAGATGGCTGCCCCACTCAGCTTTTCCTTCAAGCATGGCGTCACTAGATCCAAGCTGCGACCTAGTTTTTCGTCAGCCCTCACTACGTCTGTGTAGATCTCTGTGTACCGTTTTGCAAACTCTCACTACAGTTGGCTTTTTCCCGAAAAATCGCCTGCGCATGCGCAGTGGCAGTGATGCCACGCGCACCATGTTCTTTGGGGATAACTGGGTGGCGATATTTGCAAATCATCACGAAAGGTACCTGGCCCAAGAGATTTTCTACTCACAACTTCGGAGAAGGCCACTGATCCCTAGTTTTGGTTTCTGCGATCTCTCTCTGCGGTTTCATTATCACGACCTTTCGCCATTCACTCTTACTGCACATATTTCACGTCACTGTCATTATTTTATTACTTCGATATTTGTACCAACGTTTCCACGAGCGATTTTAAGACCCCCCTACGACCACGTACCGTATCATTCATTGTTCACATCTCGTGTCTATTGAAATGGCGCTCTTTGCCATGAATTTATCGATTGATTGATGTGTTGGAGCATTGGCGCTGCTTCTAATTTCTTTGTGTGTATGAGTAGTATTGCTTTGCTATGTTAAGTGCTAACTCGTTTGTGTTTCTTGGTGCGCGTAGTTTATTTATTTTATTTTTGCTTATTGTGTCGAAGTATCAGTCGTTCGTGCCTTTTTTAGGCAAACCTCCCTCATTTAGTGAAAAACGAAAAAAGAGCGTTACATTGACTAATGTTTTCAATCTTTCAAAGTTACAACTGTTCTAGTTTTTTTCCTCAACGCATTGTTTTTGTCATAAGCTCTTCCTACTGTTTCCTTGGAAAATGTACTATCATGTGTAAGTATATATATACCCACTCCTGCATATGAATTAGCATAGAAGTCAGCAGTATTGACTAAATAAATAAATAAATAAATAAATAAATAAATAAATAAATAAATAAATAAATAAATAAATAAATAAAGCAACCCTTGCTCTGTGAAGCACCACACGCCATCATCATTTCGGCGATCACCCCTGGAGGCCCTATTCGGAACTGAAACACGCCCCGTTCCTTTTTTCTTATCACCCCAAGACGTCCTGCTGAAAGTGCAGGGCACTTCAGGTGGCTAGGCTTTTGTGTGTCGTCATGGGCTGCAATATGCTGCAGTTCGGTGCCCTCGCCACTTGCTGCAGCACTCCATGTGCAGAATAGTGAACGTGCACTCGCACTAGAGAGACGAATTACACCTCTTGCTCTCCGAGGGCCTCACTGACGATCACTTATCATCATCAGAACAACAACAACAACAAAAATAGTGCGTTTGGCGTAATACACGCAAGACCACATACTAAAAATAGAAAACAAGAGGAAGCAAGGACGTAGTTGAAAAAGAGAAAAAAAAAGAAAAATGAAAAGAACAGGAAACAAAAAATATGGTCAAAGAGAGAAAAGCAATGAATAAAAATAATAATAAGGAAAGGAGAAAAGAAAAAAAAGACCCTAAACTGAAACAAAGACGGTTACCAAGCTGCGCACTTTGGCCGAAATATTTCGAAGCAATTAAATAAAATAGATTGTTAGTGCGTCTTTAGCAGTGAGCCGAAGACGCGTTTATTGGGGGAAACGAAGAAGTAAAGCCGATTAGCCGTCAAGCGGAGCGAGCGCGAGCAGCAACAACACTCTTCCTTCTCTTCTTCACTGGCGCTCCGGCCTGTGCCATGAATCAATGCTACAAAATATTGAAAATTTCCGGGTCCCAGTGAAGATCCGACCCAGGACGTTCTCCTGGCAAGTAGGTGTTCCACTACACAGCCACAAGTCTGTCTTTTTTTTTTCATGCATCATATTTATTATATTGCGTATAGGCCCTTGTAGATGCTTTGATGTAGGGACTCATTCCCTCAGCAACAATAATCGCACAAGCACTGCACAGGTACTCAAAGGCTTGCACGCATATATACGGCGTAAGTTCTAAAAACCACGAAAAAGTGCTTCAAAACTCGTCTTTTCAGCAGGCTCATAATAATCAGCACCTTATAACGTCCAGAAAAACAAGAAAAGTCTTTCAAAACCTGTAATACCAGTAACAAAGATGAATGAAATGGAATGAAAAAAAGAACTTTAGCAAAGATGAGCCCCTCATCAAGTTGGGGTGACAGTCGAGTCTCGTGTTAATTCTTCATAAATTTCCATTAGATCCAGAGCCGTATGCATGAAATGCATACTTGAAGGAGTTCTTGTTCTGCATTACGGTCTTGCATGCGCGTTCATCGCAGCCTGTGCAGTTCCACCCGGAAAAAAAATTCAGGTCTCACGTACTTTGGGAATCGATGTTACGCGAAACGTCCGGATGGAAGTCGACTGTGTTGTAATTTCTATTTAACTGAGCGAAATGTTGTGAAGTGGCGCTATAGATATGCACCGATGCACGCGCAGACATACGTTCTGCTGTAGAGTATGAAAATGAGCTACGTACCTCGTACGCTTACAGAGATGTTCATAAATATGCAGTGCGTATTGCAGCAAACTATATTTTATAGACTATTGTCATAATTCAATTGCGAAGTACTTTATTTTCAATTTTGGTATATACTTGTTATACCTTCATCTTACTTAGCTTTAACCAAAGCGTCGTTTCACTGCCGTATTGCTGTCAGCACATACTGCAAGTAAATAAACAAATAAATGCAAACGGTAATACAAGTAGAACGGCATGTCGAAATCGCAGTTTTAAAACACGGATCCGTTGTGACGGCCAGCTTCCTCTTGCGACGTTATACTTTTACGTTCCGCGTACGTAACACCCGTACATATGCTATAGTAACGTAGGTGCCGCAGAATGCAACATTCTGACGAAACAGACACCACGATACTAAAACAGCCAGAGAACGGTGACAGTCAGGGATGCGGTGGCAGCTGCGCTGAGCTCGATTGCCCCAGTGCGGAAGGGAGATGTAGATGTGTCACCGTTTGAGTTGTTGAGCTCGAATACTTTCATTGTGGTCTAAAATAGTACTTAGATAGACGTGCAGTCTCATTCGCTTTACATGTGCGGAGATCTCAATCAGTCCTCTGTGTCGGGAGACCACACGCATGTTTCATGCGACAGTTGCACAGGTATCAGAAACTTGAGGATAGTATACCTGTGAAGGCGTTTTTTTTTGTATGGCGATACCTGGAACTGTCACCAAATTTGAAGGTAACTAATTTATCACGCCAAAGAAGCAAGCGTCAATGCTGTTCTGGCCGTTGATGTAGCACTGAATCTTGTGAAACAATCTACGCAAACGCACACTTTCTGAAATGATATTCTCTGGAGCTAGTTGGTTAGTAACGTGGGTTGTTACTACAGCAACATCCGCGTCGGTCTTCCTTTTTCTACCTCGTGTCAAGTTTCACTGCACAAAGCAACGTCAGCAGGCACTCCTTACAAGCAACTCGTGGGGAATCTGCCAGTCTCTCTGTACTACCGCCGACAGAGAGATTACAGCACAACGCACCCGTGCAGTACCTCTACAGTCCCCTGGAATTTTGAAGTGGCCAGTTCAGTGCCACATTGAAATGCAGTCTGCGAAAGCACACGACTTGCCTATATCGTTTTAGGTTAACACGTTTAAAAGTCAACATGGTCGTTCTCAACTTGTTCTCTGTGTGCTTGTTCGCGTTCATTTCGTCGTACGTGCAGTCACTTGCTTCGGCGGAAGACCTGAAACTGGAGGCTCGCATGCTACCTGTAAGTGAAGTTTATGGGCATCCACATGCTATTCTTGCTTTGCCAAGCGCTTTGTATTCGTAGCGTTTGGTGGGTTTGCGCGAAAAAGTTTATCACATGTTATTAAGTAAACTCTGAAGAAATGAAGTATTCGGGAAGTACTTCTGCTACACAATGGTCATCTGACTTGCTCGCATTTTCTTTCTTGAAAACCCGGCGCTGGCCATTTTCCTGTCGCGAATTCTATACGTCACACTGATGACCCGTGCACCATTCTTGTCCGCGAACTACCGGAACCGTGGTGATAGTGCGAGGAAAGTAATGATTGATTTATTTGTGGGGTTTAACGTCCCAAATCCACCATATAATTATGAGAGACGCCGTAGTGGAGGGCTCCGTAAATTTCGACCACTTGGGGGTTGTTTATCACGAACCCGAATCTGAGCACACAGGCCTACCACATTTCCTCCTTAATCGGAAATGCAGCCGCAAGAGCCGGGATTTGATCCCGTGGCCTGCGAGGAAAGTACTCGTAAGTACATTGCGATTTTCGTTGTGTTGCGAAAACACTCACTAAACACTCGATTTTTTTTATTGATAGGTGAGGTTTAACGTCTCGAAACCACCATAGGATTATGAAAGACGCCGTAGTGGAGGGCTCCGAAAATTGCGACCACGTGGGGTTCTTTAACGTGCACTCAAATCTGAGCACACGGGCGTACAGCATATAAGCCTCCATCGGAAATGCAGCCGCCGCAGCCGGGATTCGATCCCGCGACCTGCGGGTTAGCAGCCAAGTACCACTCGATTTTTTTAACAGTGTTGAAGCTACGATAAAGATAGAAGCCTAAAACGATGAACGATCCTAGAAAGTAATAGGAATAGCTGTAGTGAAAGTTTAGACTAGTGGCCTTGTCTTAAAGTTACAACCTTGGCTTCTCTTGTAAGGAAGAGAAGACAGATAGTGGAAACAGTGGCTGTGGCACCAATGTTCAAAATATATTTCATTACATGTAATCTGGTTGTAAAAGCAATTAATAAACTTGCGCGTACGGCATGCAGACGAAATATTGTTATAATATGAACAATGTTCACTTTCGGATTTGAAGCTTTTCTTTGCGTACGGGAAGTATCTATCTGTCTATCTATCTATCTATCTATCTATCTATCTATCTATCTATCTATCTATCTATCTATCTAGCCGCCTAAGTCTAGGCGCTCATGATGGCCTCCTTAACGGAAAGTAGACCAAAATTAGTACGGGGGTAAAGAGAGTTTGACGAATGCGTCCTTAGTCACGAGGCCCACTACTTGATGATGATGATGATGACAATTAAAACATAGAACTTCGAATTCCACCGTTTACGTCGTCACACCATTTCCGGCACACACAAGGGGCGTATACCCGTATACCCCGGGCCGCGGTGTGCGGGTGTGTGCAACAGGTGATTGACAGTTATCGACCCGGGAACGTCGAGGACAGGGAACGCTTAATCATATGAGAAAATGTTAAGAAATGTGGCATCGAAAGCGTTCACGAAACGAATGCAGATATTATGTATAAGGGTCTCAGCAGGAATCGAACCCAAACCTTTTGAATGGTAATTCAGTATTCTACCACAGAGCCACGCCAGGTCTGCTTTGGATAAGCGTCCTGTGCAGGCGCAGTGTTGGTCAAGTGTCAACTGCGGTTGCAGTGCTGGCATCGAATTTTATAAACATCAAATATGTATACGCCTTTGATGCAGGCGTCACGCCATGTCCAGTCGTGGCAGTGCGCCATGCGCTGAAGTTGGTTTACGTAGCACCATTCACGGACACCGTACTTGCAAGCACAAGCGCTGCGTGTGAGCTTACCGCATCTGTTGTTGGTATAAAAGCAATTTCGTGGTTCCTTTGTTGGGCAGCTGTGAACAACTTGTTGTATAAAACGCACAGGACTTGTCGACAAATGCCTGTGTATACAACGTTTGTACTTATCTTTAGCGGCATTTCTTAATACTCAATACAAGAATTAAACCACCGTCACCTTGTCCCGGCGTGTTTCGCATGACATCGATTCTCATGGCACGTAGAATCTGCCAAAAGTTTACACCATATAAATTTGAAGAAACCAAAAAATGTGCTTCCTCTCCGCGCTTTTGTGCGTATTGTTTTGTTGCCAAATTTATCCCAACTGTGTCAGTTCAAAATATCTTATGATTACTTATTCATTCAGAGGTGTTAGCGAGGAAGCAACTAGCGCCACAACTACAAAGATATGAATGCGTATCCTTAGACATCCCTGTAAAGCATTTTTGCAGCAGCCACTTTGATTCCTGCAAATTCTTTTTCAATTATCTAGGCATAAAAAATATACAGTCATCTAAAACGTATTAATCACACCACACGTTCAGCAAAACCAACCTTTGTCCACGACATTGATTTAATTTCATTGCTATGTGGGGTTTAACGTCCCAAAACTACCATTTGATTATGAGAGACGCCGTAGTGGAGGGCTCCGGAAATTTGGACAACCTGGGGTTCTTTAACGTGCACCCAAATCTGAGCACATGGGCCTACAACATTTCCGCCTCCATCGAAAATGCAGCCGCCGCAGTTGGGATTCGAACCCGCGACCTCCAGGTCAGCAGCCGAGTACCTTAGCCACTAGACCACCGCAGGCGGGGCCCAAAACCACCATATGATTATGATAGACGCCATAGTGGAGGGACTCCGGAAATTTGGACCACCTGGGGTTCTTTAACGTGCACCCAAATCTGAGCACACAGGCCTACAGCATTTCTGATTCCATCGGAAGTGCAGCCGCCGCAGCCGGGATTCGATCCCGCGTCCTGCGGATCAGCAGCCGAGTACCTTAGCCACTAGACCACCGTGGCGGGGCTTGCCCGTGGAACCCGAGTTCTTCTGCAGTCAGGATAATTACTGAAGCATATTATTTCGCTCTCATTGTATTCAATTGTACATGCTCACATTTAATTACAGCAGCACGTGTTGGCGCAATGACTACTTGACACATCTAGATTCATTACGAGTACTACATTATTAGACTACCATATATATGCTAAGAAGAATATTAAGCTGGTATAATAATTATACCTAGCGCATAAAACACCAAAGCTGCGCATACTTAACAATGGAACCGTATTTTGTTCAGTTTAGAAAATCAATATAACTTTACAAACTTTTTCTTCCAATAAATGATCAACGACCTGATGACATCAAACCCCGACCTTATCTAGCAATTAATATTGCTACAAGGTGTGCAAGCCACAACAACTTTGTTTTACAAGAAACTCTTGCTAATTATGAAAAGCAGGGTGCCTGTTTTCGTTCATTGCAATTTAGAACACCATACTTACTGGAACAGAGACACAAATATCCACCAATTTAAAACCAATCAAATAAATACATTCCTTCAACCTCTGATGTATCGGCATTCTCATGACCATGCATACTTACCGCGTGTTCTTATTTGATGAATTGCTCATGGTTACTTTGTAAAATTTTTTGGGTCTAGATTAGTTTTCTTTTACTTCAATACCAATCATTTCTGTTTACCCATCTTTAATGGGCATGTTTCGTTCTTGCTGTAATATGTATCGCTGACTTATTTTGAAAAAGTGGTCCCACTGCAAACTCACTTCGTGTCTTTCTGTATGTTATCAGGGTGTAATTTTGCTATGAATTGCATTGAAAATGATATTAATTCTAGTTACGAACAGGAGTCAAGAAAAGATGAATTGTAGTACAAATTTAACACGAAATCTCAAAATATTTTGGTCACATGTCTAGGACATAGCGTGAGAGAGATGCTGTAATTTCAAAATGTGGAAACCCGCACAAGTATTTTCTAACTCTAGCATTCTTTTCCTGTTATTTTTTTGCGTACTGGGTGATTCTGTGTGTTTCAGTGCGATCTGATCAAGTACCACGGATACCCTTGCGAGATTACGCACGCGACCACTGAAGATGGCTACATACTAGATGTGTTTAGAATCGCTCACGGAATTCAAGGCAATGCGTCGAGGGTAAACGACGAATCGCAACGTCGTCTACCACTGCTCTTGGTTCCTTCCTTGATGGCTCCTGTTGATGAGTACTTCTGGAACTTGCCCAGTCAGAGTCCGGGTACGTATCATTGTGCAAACTTACATTCAGCGTCACACGTTGAGGGCCAACGAGGCAAGTAAAAGCTGGATATGGCTGCTTCTCAGACAGGCAGTCTTAAATATAAAAGTCTGGTCTTGTCGGAAACTAGTCGGCAACATGTACTATGCCTTCTTGTTAACGTTTCGATGCGCACACAGTGGACGAGAAAACGGAAGGCGAGGAGACAAACAAGTGCTTCGAACCAACTCACCCAACTTTCCATTCTATTACATTATGTACTATGCAGTTCAACCGGGTGCAGTCACAAACTGCTATGCAGTTGAACCGGGTGCAGTCACAAACTGCGGGAACATTCGCAGTTCTCTAAGACTGGGTGACCTCTGAACCTTTGACGATGACTACATGTTCTTGCGTTACGGACGTCTGTGCTTTCTTTCATTTACATATAAACTAGCTTTATCTGATAACTTAGCAATGAAGAATCGACTTCAAAAACAACTTAAGCTCATCTTTTCGAGGACATGAATGTCAATTTGGCACCCTCTTCTCTAATAAATCATTAAATGGGGCACAAATAAGAAAAATAACAATTAGGGTTCGACGTACCGACACCTTGATGTAATTATGAGGAACCCCGTAGTGAAGGGCTTCGTGAATTTCGACCATCTGGTCCTCTTTTGGAGCACCTAAATAAATCTATGTGCACCGGCCTATAACATTTTCGCCACCAGCGGAAATGTGACTGCCATCGCCGGAGTTTGATACCAAGGTGGTCGGGTCAGCAGTTGATATCCACAGTCACTAGACCACCTTGTCGGGCGAGGCAGGTGCACAGCTTGCTCATACCGGTCCTTAGCCAAACTTATCCCGCGATTGTTTCTAGTCCGGTGTTATGTCCACAGAGGTTTCGATGAAATCGCGGCCTCGGACCATTTATGTCGTATTCGCGGAAGCGTTCACTTTTCAGATATTTACGAATGATAATCCGAAGACCTTAAGCAGTTCGTATTGCGTAGCACATTGTCGCTTCACTTTTCATTTTCGTGGTCGTGGTGGTGGTGTTGCAGCAGGCGGGACAAGCCTGCTGCAACACAGAAAGAAATGCGACACTCCGAAGCCTGCAAAAAGGTGCCCTCTGGTGCCACACATCTGAGGACGTCTATTTTACCGTGCGGCCAAGGCCATCAAGCAGTAAGTGCAGTGACTACTGCTTGCCATGTGGGACATCGGGGTGTTTTACTTTTGCATGTAGGGAAGCTTGCTTGCATTGTCCTTTTGCCAGTTTGTGGAAGGGCGGGAGTAAACATGGCTCCCGCTGTTCAAGAATCGCACTGATGTCTGTGGGCAGATCATTGCAGCATCCAATTGTTATGTGTTCGAACTATTAAAGGTTGGCCGCAAGAGAATATTCAGCTTTAATCCCTTCATTGTTTTGTCGTTCTTTCTCCACAGGCTTCCTCTTCGCTGACAATGGTTTCGACGTCTGGGCTATGTGCGTGAGAGAAAACCAGCCTTACGTACGTCACAAAAAACTCTCTCAAGAAGACCCTAAGTTCTGGCAGTTCAGGTAATTTGGGCGTGGTAGTTTGAATGTGACTTGCATTTTATTTCTCTTCGATTGGTTCCTCCTAAAGGATTTCTCACGTAGCAAAAATAAAAGGTTCGCTGGGCTGAAAATTCACGACGAAGAAGGAAACAGAAGTCTAAAGAGTGAAATTCTCCCATCGTCTTTTCTATAATCAAGGAAGTGTTCATAGGGGCGAAAATCTGTTGGAAACAAGCTCATTCCTAAACTCGTCATTACAACTAGAAGAACTTGGAGGATTGGAGTAGCAGTACGAACAGTTTTGCCAAATAATTTATTTCACAAACTTTGAGAGACGCGAACTTGCTGCTAAAGAAATGCGTGAATAATCACATTTGTTCCTATAGAACCATTGGCTGCAGGCCTAGCATTCAGGGTGATGTCATCACACCCAACCTTCGGTCGACGGAGATGGCCGGCGGCTCATTAAATCTCTGCTTAGGCCTTGTACGTCTCGATGGCCCACCCACTCCTCCTCGCGCTTAGGGCGTACGATGCGTGGGACAAAGTCGTGGATTTGAAATTTTAAGGAACATGACGGCGACCACAACAGTGACGACAAAAACTTACTGAGAGAGAGAGAGAGATAAAGATGCAAGGAAAGGCAGTGAGGTTAACCAGACGCATATACGGTTTGCTACCCTGCACTGGAAAAGGGATGAAGGGAAGAAAAGAGGTTGCACAGAGATAAGAAGGTACACACGATCACGAGCACACTCGGGGGAGCACACACAGTCTATATACAAGCGGTCGCTCAGGTTTGTTGTCTTCAAGTAAAGTAAGAGTGCTTTCGACTGTCTATAAAAGTGTTCCTATTAAACAGGAACCAAGGGGTGCTTCTCTCAAACAGATTGCCAATCTGAAAACGAGAGTGCGGTATTAATGTGTACGGTGAACGAGTGGTATTTGCTGTTTTGCATCAATAAGCAATTCTGTATAAAATCTGATCGGTGCTTCAACAGCAACTTGAAAACGCGTCTCTACGCAGTTTCGACGAAATGGGGCGCTACGACGTTGCCGCCGCAATAGACCACGTGCTCAACGCTACAGGCGCCACCAAGCTGACAATTTTGGGATACTCTCAAGGAACGCTTTCAAATTTTATACTGCATTCCACAAGACCAGAGTACAGTGAAAAGGTAGTGGTTTCTGCATGTGCCCTCTATTTAGCCTCCAGAGAAACTGCAGCATTTCCGTATTGTTGTAGTACTTATCTGCAGCAAGAGAGCGAGGAGAATACGTGGGCTTGATCTTGAATAGTTAAACACGATAGCGCATTAGGACACTGTTATCACAGCTTTCTCTGTCACTAGCTTGGCTTGACTTTTCAGTGGACACCTAAACCTTTCCGCTCATTCCATAGCTCACATATGTTGACGCCTGGCCTGGCTATATTACACGCGTTAATAACGCCTAAAGTACAACATCATTTTGCAAAAATGCCGGGATAGTGCCACCATCACAGCTAAAAACACACAGGACCTCTTTATCAGGATTCTGTCGGTTTCTCTATGGACAGCTATGGTGGCTGTGGAGCTGCTGTAGATTTCTTCGGGGATGTTTGTGTAGGCTTCGTCGATGATCTGATTCCGTATTCCTTCATAACTACTGATGTCTCCACTGAGTCAAACACCATCTCGTAATCTATGAAGGCAATGTATAGGGGTTAGTGGTATTCGGCGCAGTTCCTCTATCACCTGATTGATGAAATGAATATGGTCTATTGTGGAGTAGTCTGTACGTAATCCTGCTCGGTCCTTTGGTTGATTGAACTCTCATGTCACCTTACATCTATTAGTTATTATTTTTGAGAATAGCTTATAGAGAACGGACAGTAAGCTGATCGGCCTGTAATTTTTCAAGTCACTGACGTCTCTTTTCTTATGAATTAAAATGATGTTGGCGTTTTTCAAGGATTCTGATACCCTTCCCATCAAGAGACACTTCGTATATAACTTGGTCATTTTTCTAACACAATTTATACGTCATCTTTCAGCAGGTTTGTTGTTACCCGATCCTCACCAGCGGCTTTGCCTGTTCGCATTCCTTCTAGGGCTTTCTTTACTTCCCCTCTCGTTACTAGCAGGATGTCGAATTTGTCTGGGCTATCATTACTACTCACATCATCCTTGTTGTTTCGGCTTCTGTAAAGCTCTCTGTAAACTTCTCCGCCAACTGAACTTTCATATTCATATTGGTTATGACATTGCATTCCTTCTCCGTTAATGCATACATCCAATTTTTTCTAGGCACAAATTTGCCTTCGTAGCTTTTAGGCTTCTGCCGCTTTTTACAGTCTGCTCGATTCTCTCCATGTTATACCTTCTGATGTCGGCTACACTTACCTGTATTAATAAACTTCAAAAGCTCCACTAGCTCTATTTTGTCAGTTGCATTTTATGCTTTCATGTTCTGTGGTCTCCTAATAAGATTTTCCGTCTCCTGAGACAGTTTGCCAGTGTCTTGTCTAGTGACTGTACCTCCGACTTCCATTGTACGCTTCTTTATGATACTAGTAAGATTATCGTTCATTTTGTCAATGCTAACGTCGGTTACCTCGTTTAGAGCTGTGAATCTACTCCGAAGCAATATTCTGAATTTCTGTACTTTCCCACTTATCGCTAGCTGAATAATTCACTTCTTGCGTATCAGTTTAGTTCTTCGAGTTTTTTAATTCAAGGTGAATTTGAGTTCTTACCGTTCTATGGTCACTGCATCAGATCTTGCCAACAACTCCTACAACATACGCAATGGCAGGGTATGCACAAAGAATGAAGTCTATTTCATTTTTACTTCCACCATTAGGACATTAGGACTTCACCACATTCATTTACAGTTAGCCCGCTTGCTGTAGAAGGTAGTCAAGATCTGTAATTTGTTGCGTTCTGCAAATGCTAGTAATAGCTCCCCTCTGGCATTTTTAGTACCGATGCCATAATTTCCTGCCTGGTCTCCAGCATGCTTATTCCTTACCTTTGCATTGAAGTCACCCATCAGTATATTATACCGTGTTTTTACCTAACTCATTGCCGATTTCACGTCTTTATAAGAGCTTTCAACGATTACGTGATCATGGCTAGATGTAGGCGTGTAGGCCTGTACCTACTTGATCTTGTATCTCCTATTAAGTTTAATTACGGTACCTGCTACTCTTTCGTTAATGCTATAGTATTTCTCTATGTTACCAGCTATGTTTCTGTGGATAAGGAACCCCCCCCCCCCTTTCCCGCTCTCTTCTGCCAGCCATGCCGTGATAGCAAAAAACGTGCGCATTTTGTTGCACTGTGTAGTCCTCATCTGTCCTCGTAACTTAGTTGAGCCCTATTACATCCTACTTAACACCATATAATTCCTCGAACAGCACAGCTAAAAAGCCTCGCTTGATAGTCTTTTAGCGTTCAACATAGCGAAGTGCAGATTCCAATGGCGGCCAGTTCAGACCCAGAGATTCTTAGCACCCTCCACTGCGTCGGAGGTCTGACTGCCACCTAGGACAGTTGCTTCACAGCCGCTGGGGACTGAGGGTCAAGGGTTGATTGCTGTATTCATGGGGGGTAGTGGCCAAGTACTGCACCAGGGGGGGCAGTCCTGCTCTGGTGAGGGAGTGCATTACCGGCAGGTGGTCGCCAGTGAGACCGCACCCCAGGATTTTATTTTTTAAACGACTCCTTCATCGCGCGTTTTAAGTAAATATACGATTCTGATTGGTCCCTCATCCGCATTCAAACTGAATTTCGTCCTTGCATGCTCAGCTGCTGCGCTATCTCTAAGTAGGGAGTTCTGTTGCACTTTCTTAGCACTGTAGCATAGCATCTGACCACCTATCACTTTTCAAGTTCACTCTATTCGTTGCTCACCTGGCCTTTTTTCAACTGTTCGAAACTTCATATTGGTTAAAACAATAAAAAAAACGGCGTAGCTTCGAACTTTCGACCTTGCGAGCTTAAGCCGGCTTAGTGCTTTGAATGACCCTCCTTTTCACGCGCTTATTCACTCTTGACGTCTTCTTGTCTCGCTCAATTTTCACGTTGTTGGCTTCAACGTGTTCGCATTGTCAGAGCTTTGGTAATTCCCAGTGGTAGCACTCCTACTTTGACGTTTCCTGTCAACTGACGTGTTGTGCACTCCTGCTTTGCGAACTGAACGGCTGCTCCTGCGTGACTGTTAGGTTGAGCGTATACGTTGCGGGCGGTTGGAGTGCATGAAAAGTAAAAGCGAAAAGTATCTAACTGCTAAAGAATGGACTGACGCTGTATTTAAGGCTGTATCGTATTTTGTTGGCGTTTGGGACTGGTAATTAATATTCTGGCAAATAGTAGACAGTAGTCCTCAGTCGGGAGTGAGATGCACGTGCTGGCTATTGCATCTACGGCTAGCCTAGAAGCGTACAATAGAGCAATAAAAGGTGAGCAGAAAATTATTTATACTTCTAGAGAGTGGCAAAAGGAAAACAAAAATGGGGGAAAGTAATGACGTGTTTGCGTCACTCACCGCATAGCGTCAAGTTGAATTGATGGACCCCAACGACTCTCGGAACACGTGCACAACGATAAATCCACGCGACACGTGTGACAGGTATGACTTGAACAGGTGCAAGTGTTGACGTCACGGCCAACGCAGCGGATCACCGAAAGGCCCAGACAGGCGGAGGGATTGTTTATTAGAACTTGGAAAGGAGAAAGAATTGTTTCCTGGAATAACTCAAATTCTTAAAAAATATGACAGTTAGTTTAGCGGCACTCTAAATTGAACACCACAGTTCGCTTACACTGGGAAGAGCTTTACATCTCTTGTGACAGTTAACATGTACGCTTGGCAGGCGAAGGAAAATACATCGAAGGTTGAAGCCGTGATAGAAAGCTTTGTTTCTATTTGGTGGCGGGAACGATTTCCCACCTCACTGGCCACGTGACCGTGATTGTGGAAGGCCGCATATGCAGTCGTCGGGGGTAGTTCAGAGAACACAAGACACAAAAAGAAGCGAAATAATCCCGCTGCCTAAGTAAGAAGCCATGGATTGTACTTCTGGCTAGTTATAAAACGCGCTTAATTGGATATACTATAAAGTTCACTCGAGTATAGCCAAAACGTTGTCGGGAAATCGCTGTTTAACGGACTATACCCCAATATATATCCGACGAATATATGCAAGATATGCCATAGTGAGGTTGCCACATTAAATCACATGCTCTGGGACTGCGCTAGAAATCTGCAAAGTGCTAAATTCGGAACCCTTCCGCCGCGGTTGGCCGCTGCCCTGTGCAGCCCCAGCCTCGGTGACCAACTCTTGGCCGTCCAGCAGGCCCGCGAGGCGGCGGTCAGGCAAGGTCTTGACGTCCCCACGCGAAAGACCTAAGGTCCGGTCGGCGAAAGCTCTGCCAGACTTCCAATAAAGTTCTTACCGACCGACCGACCGACCGACAGACCGACCAACCAATTGAATGTTTTCTCTGGCCTAATGGCACCTGATTTTATCTAGTCGGTGGTCGAATGATTTTGGCACACGTGAAAAACTTTGAACGGACAGGCTTAGTCTCGTGCCTATAACCTCGCATCTCGCGACTTTGCATTAGATGCTAAAACGGAATAACAATTACATTCTCTAATATTTCGTCTTCACAGGTCTCTCTTTTTATAGCATACGCTCCAATCGGAAATATCACTCACATCGGATTACCTCTCAAACTGATCCTGCCGTACGTTCCTTCCCTCCTGGCAAGTTGTCCTTGATCAATTCCTACACCATATATTCTTTTTTTTTTCTAGCTGACATAAATTGTAAAGTATTCCCTACACATATGTCCGCGTTACTCACTATTTTCGGTTGAATTTCTGAAAAATCTAGATATTCTTACGTATAAGAAAGCAAGAGGTAACCTTGATGAAAAGACTGCCTAAATATAGTTTTAAATGTTTATTTAGCCTAAGCATCTTTGCTGATTATGCCAGAATGCTTGAATTTGCGATACCTGTCAGCTGGTACCTCACCGATGTCATTTAGTTTCATTTTATTCAGGTTGTTATGACTACATTTCAAGAAATTCACAATACTGATCAGACCCATACCCATAGGCTAGTAGGGGTCTAACGAGAGAAAGTAAACAAACAGAATACAGTTTGTATATAAAGAAATTCAGATCATCAAAAAACGTTGATTTTGCAAAAGCGAAAAAAAAATACAAGAACGTATCATTGGAATTTAAGGTGAAGTAAATGCTCAGAAACGTATATAGAACACAATGTTGCACTTTGTTCATAAATAATGAAATAATCAAGAACAGACAAAACATCAAACTATGTGTAAGGCTTAGTACATGGTCATTACTATTGATCTAGTGTAGCAAACATTTTTTGAGTGCGCTCGAGAAAGACTTAGAATCTTTAATCTGAAGTGGTATGTTATTCCACACTTTAGCTCCTACGAACTGTAGTAAGCGTTCACCACACACGTTTTTAGTTCGTGGTATCATGCCATTGAGCTACTCACCGATGATTTCCTGAGATTTATAGCGAAATCTGATGACTCTGAGATGGCAAAATGACGCATCAGTCTGAAAGAGACCCGCAAGATAAGGGCATCGTTACGAACTGGAAAATTGCTATTCACTGGTTTTTTGCACCAAGCTTCGAAAAAATTATTATGAATTTCGTAGAGTGCGAAGCTCATGGCGGTTATATATATTCAATCCAGATGCAAGTGTCGAATCGAAGACCAACGATTTTCATTACAATTTTTTACAGTTGTATTTCTTTGATGGTTTGCATCCCTGCAAGTATGTTTAACTTAACGAAAGTTCTTAACGATGTTCGTTGACGGGTTTTATATTTTCGCCATCATATACTTTTGGGCAATCACAACACTACAAATCGTTCTTCTTTATTGTTTTTCATGTTAGGTAGTGTCCTTGTTAGGTGTAAATGTAGTTGTGGTGACTGTCCGAAACTAGTGATAAGGGCGTGGTCATTTGTTTATTCCTACAGAAACTTGTCTACCCGTTTACACTTGGAGGTTATCTTGGCTCGTCGCATGGCTTGCAGGAATTGTTCTCTGCAGCATGCAGTATATTATGGAGCGTGCCTTGTGGCATCGGTACTGCATTGACCGGCACTTTCAGCCCAGAGCAGTTAAACAAGGTAAGATCAAGAGTATGGACACGTTTTCTAGTACTTTTCTCAGAATGAAAAATGAATGACCGTGACATTTATTATCTTTAATAAAGGAAAGGAAGACACTTCACCGTCATTGGGAATGAGGTGTAAAATCGGTGAAGGAATCAAAGGGGGAGAAGTAACTTAATCGCACGTTATTGCATGGGTCGGGTGCCCTCTCCAACACCGCTTGAAACAGGCCACTTTGACTACCGTATTCGCAATTCCCACGGGCTATAGGTGGCGCGCCGTTCAATCCAAGATGGCTGCGGAAGGATGATCAACCCGTCACCGTGTGCTCTGATTTGGGTGGACGTTAAAGAAACCCAGGTGGTCGAAATTTCCGGAGCCCTCCACTACGGCGTCTCTCCTAATCATATGGTGGTTTTGGGACGTTAAACCTCACATATAAATTTATCACTATCAATGATAAACCCGTGAACTCGCATGAAAAAAGATAGGACTCACGGACATACGCTCCGTGCCGCATTCACCGTATGAACTCTTGATCGTCAAATGGATGTGTATCGGAACAAAGCACTTACCGAAAAAATAGTAACTGCTAAATGTTATGGCGTTTATTTGCCGGCACACAGCGAGTCTACACAATGGCGACAGTAACAGCCAAGCACGGACTCTCCGCGCGAGCGGCGTTCTTTTTGGGCAGACCCACTAGAAAGCACTTGAGAATTCGACCCATTTCAGTGTTCGGCGGCTTCTCTACAATTACCCCGGGGTCAAAGAGAAAGCCGCCTGGCGACCTAACAGCTTGTCACTACGAGCGGGTGATAGTAAGCCTTCAGGCGCTCCACGTTGACTATGTCGTGCCCGCGGCGGCGCATGTCCGAAGATTGTTCAATTGGCTCGATAAGATAGTTGACCGGAGATGTGCGCTCGATCACACGGTAGGCACCTTCATATTTCGGGAGTAGTTTGGAAGAAAGGCCAGCTACAGAGGTCGAGATTGAGAGCCATACAAGGAAACCAGGAAGGAACGTGGGTTCAGAAGTGGCGGAGCCATCGCGAATACTATTCTGCTGCTCTTGCTCATGCGTCGTAAAAGTCTTTCGCAAGCTCGCGACACTCTTCAGCAAGCCTGGTGGTCTCAGAAATAGGTGTACACTCAGATGGATCCGGCGTGTACGGGAGTAACGTGTCGATGGTGTGTGACGGGTGCCTTCCGTACAGCAAAAAGAAAGGTGAAAAACCAGTCGTGCTCTGAGGGGCGGTGTTGTAGGCGTAGGTGACGAAGGGCAGTATGGTATCCCAATTCGTGTGGTTGGCGGCGACGTACATCGACAGCATGTCGCCGAGGATGCGGTTAAAGCGTTCGGTCAGGACATTCGTCTGCGGGTGGTAAGCAGTAGTAGTGTGGTGGACAAAATGGAACTCAGTGAGAATGGCGTCGACGACTTCTGACAAGAAGACACGGCCTCGATCGCTGAGAAGCTCCTGGGGTGGACCGTGGCGCAGTATGAATCGATGTAGTAGAAAGGACGCAACATCACGCGCAGTAGCCGCAGGGAGAGCGGCGGTTTCGGCGTATCGCGTTAAATGATCTACGGCGACGATGGTCCAGCGGTTGCCAGTGAACGTCAGAGGGAGTGGTCCATACAAATCGATACCTATGCGCCCAAACGGACGGTCAGGGCAAGGTAACGGTTGCAGACCGGCTGGTGACATGTGTGCGGACGGTTTGCGGCGTTGGCAAGCGAGACAGGAGCGAACGAACTGCTGGACGTAGCGGTACATCCCGCGCCAGAAGTAGCGTTGTCTAATGCGATGGTAGGTTTTGAATACCCCAGAGTGCGCGCACTGTGGATCAGGATGGAAGGATTCACATATCTCCGACCGCAGACTGCGGGGTATCACGAGTAGCCACTGCCGGCCATCGGCGTCGTAATTGCGTCGGTGTAGGAGGTCGTCACGAATGGCGAAATGGTGAGCTCGACGACGCAAGGCATGCGTGGATGGCGTTGCGGACGGATCAGAGAGCAAGTCGATCAGTTGGGCGATCCAATTATCCTTTCGCTGTTCGGTAGCGATGATGTCAACATCAATGGCAGAAACAGCAACCGAGGATACTGAGCAGAGCACGTCAGCTTCGGGCAGAGGGGAGCGCGAGAGGGCGTCGGCGTCAGCATGCTGGCGTCCGTTGCGGTAGAGCACGCGTATGTCGTAGTCTTGTAAGCGAAGAGCCCAACGGGTGAGGCGGCCTGAGGGATCCTTCAATGATAACAGCCAGCATAGAGCATGATGGTCGGTGACGACATCGAATGAGCGACCATACAAATAAGGTCGAAACTTTGTAAGAGCCCAGACGATCGCCAGGCACTCTTTTTCCGTGACAGTGTAGTTTGTCTCGGCTCTCGTGAGCGTACGGCTTGTATATGCCACAACATAATCAGGGAATCCGGGTTTGCGCTGCGCCAGGACAGCGCCGAGGCCTACACCACTGGCGCCCGTGTGCACCTCTGTTGGGGCCGTAGGGTCGTAGTGGCGGAGAATGGGAGGAGACGTCAACAAATGGCGGAGCTTCAAGAACGCGTTGTCGCACTCTGACGACCACGAATTGAGGGGCCCGTTACTTCCAAGGAGCTTCGTCAGCGGTGATATAATCGTGGCGAAGTTTCGTATGAAGCGTCGGAAGTATGAGCACAGGCCCACGAAACTACGCAGTTCTTTGACGGACGCAGGTTTTGGGAATTCGGCCACAGCCCGAAGATTGGCTGGGTCAGGAAGAATACCATCCTTGGACACGACGTACCCTAGGATGATGAGTTGGCGTGCTGCAAAGCGGCACTTCTTTAGATTGAGTTGCAAGCCGGCATTGCTCACACGTGCGAAAACTTCTTTTAGACGTTGGAGATTGGTGGAGAAATCTGGAGCGAAGACAACAACGTCATCGAGGTAACACAAGCACGTGTGCCATTTCAAGTTGCGCAGAACGGTGTCCATCATGCGCTCAAATGTCGCAGCTGCATTACACAGACCAAACAGCATGACGTTGAATTTGTACAAGCCGTCGGGTGTGATGAAGGCATGTCTTCGGTCGAGCGTCATCAGCCAGGGGTACTTGCCAGTAGCCCGAACGCAGATCGAGAAAAGAAAAAATTTGGGCTCCGTGAAGGCTGTCAATTGCGTTGTCGATGCGCGGCAGTGGGTAGACATCCTTGCGAGTGATCTTATTGAGCCGTCGGTAGTCCACACAGAACCGCACAGAACCATCTTTCTTCGCAACAAGAACAACAGGAGACGCCCATGGACTGTCCGAGGGCCGAATGACGTCGCGTCGGAGCATATCGTCTACCTGCTCGTTAATTTCCCGGCGTTCAGCAGGCGACACGCGGTATGGACGTTGCCGTAATGGTGGATGGGCACCAGTGTCGATACGATGCGTAACAGTGTACGCGCGACCGAGAGAACTTCGCCCGACATCGAAAGAAGAACGGTAATCTTGCAACAGGTCTAGAAGCTGGGAACGCTGTACTGACGTTAGGTCGTCATCAATGCGTGGGCCAAATACATCAGGAGATGATGGGTCAGAAGTACAAACAGCACTCATGGTACGCGAATCGGGACAACGCGAGTCTTCGGGTACGTCCAGGACTTGTGCGTCGTCGACTGGTTCCACTCTGCCGAGACATTCCCCTCGAACCAAGGTAGCAGTGTACGGGGATAGGTTGGTCACGAAAATAGCGGCGTTGCCCTGGGTGATTTGCATGGTCGCGAAAGGTACTAGCAACCCTTTCCTTCTGGAAGCACGGTAGGATGGCGAAAACGAGTGAAATTGTGTCGGAGAGACCGGTGCAGTAGACCGATACACCCATCATCGAGCTTGGAGGCACTATAGTATCGTCTTTCACAAGAATCTTGCTCAGTGTCGAGGGACTGTCTTCTGGCGTCAAATGCGAGAAGGGCGAGAGTTCAATTTCGGTGGCGGCACAATGAATGACGGCGTCGTTGCGGGAGAGAAAATCCCATCCCAGGATGACGTCATGAGAGCATGCAGGAATGATGATGAATTGGGCGACATACAGAACGTCCTGAACGACAACGCGAGCTGTGCAGCCTGCTGTAGGATTAATACGATGTGAGCTAGCGGTACGAAGGGACAGTCCAGAAATCGGCGTCGTCACTTTTTGAAGCAAGCGGCAAAGGTTTTCGCTCATAACTGATACCGCAGCTCCAGTGTCAATAAGAGCAGATGCATGAACACCGTCCACAAGCACGTCAATGACATTAGATGGGCGGCTCTGAGGGCTTTCACAATGCGATAGCGTCGCAGTCCTTGCCTCTGGGACTGCGACGATTAGTTTTCCCACTCATGAGCAGAAGAACTTGGCCGCATGGGGGACAGAGACCGACGTCGTGGAGACGGCGACCTACGAGCAGACGGACCTGGGCGAGACGACAGTGGCACAGACGGCAGTTCGTCGTTACACGAACGGCTAAGGTGGCCAGCAACAGGAGAAGAAATGGGGGCCGGCTGTAGTCGAGAGCAATAACGGGCTACGTGACCGGCGTAACCACAAGCAAAGCAGATGGGCCGGTTGTCGGGTGTGCGCCATCGGTTTGCCGGGGTGGGTCTCGCCCGGAACGGTGGCTGGAAAGGCTGCATGGTGGGCTGGAAATGAGGCTGAGGGGTTGCGCCAACATACGCAGCCGGCATACCCGCTGCAAAGGATGGTGGTCGTGCGGCAGCTTCGGCGTAAGTCAGTGGTACAGGCGCTTGAACGACTGGAGGCGGCCTTGCGACCACTTGGGCGTAACTTGGGGGCGCAGGGGCCGGAAGTTGTTGTGGGTGGTACGCAGGCATGACCTCCGCTATTTCCTGCTCAATCGCTCGGCGGATGGGTGGAAGAATAGTAGTTGCCGATTGTTGAACAGCCGGTGGGTGGGCAAAGGGAAGGAGAGAGAACTGGCGCGCGATTTCCTCACGGATGAAGGACTTTAGGTCTGCCAGCAGCGCCACCTGATCACAT